GGTTAGGGAATTGCAGGGTTGCCAGATTTGGCGCTGAATTGCCTTTTGACGAGAATTGACGGCAAAACTGGCGATATGCCCTAGACGGAGCGAGAACATTCTAGAACGCATTCTTAGCGGTTTTCCCGAGAATATTCTCGAAGGTAGGCTAAAGCTATATATAAGCTGCTTGTACGTGGAGGGTAAAGAATATCTTGAATTTAGTAGTGTAGTAGTAGTATCTTGAGTTCAGTAGTCAAGAAGAGTAGTACTTTAATTTTAGAGATCAGCTTGAGAACGATCGACTGAGTCGGGAGCTGTGCTTTAGTGCTTTGCCATGAAGCTGTCTTCACCGTTATAGCCTTATAGACTAAAGGCTGTATTGCTGATTGTTTCACCGTGTTTTCGTAGTTTTTCGACGATTGTAACGTGTCTTTGGAACTGTCTTGTGTATTAGCGCTTACTGGCAAATAAATTGTGTTTTGATTCTTCATTATGTGTTATCATCAATTACACCAAACCCACGAACTACATAGAATGCAACAATATGCACATTAGGGTGTATTGAATGTATATAGGAGATACTATATAAATTGCGTTATGCATTATATTTTTATTTCCATTTAGTGGGTCATAAATTAAGCACTGTAAAAGTTGTCCCAGATGTTGCTTCGAGTAGATAGTTGTACGCGCGGTAGCATAACTTAGTTATGCGTCTGTATAAACAGTTTAATTAGCCATGCTTGTATATAATTCACTTAACAATATTGTTTAAGTAGTACATAGTCTAGTACAACTGTTTATGTCATGTACTCTTCTAATCAGGTGCACATGAAGCATATTTATACGAGCATATGGAGATGCAAAAATAATTCGCAGTCTTACGTAATCGATTCAATTTATATATATTTCCAGCACTCTACATAAATTCAGGAATGTTTTACAACAACATTAGCCGAAAAACAGAGTAAAACGTCACAAAGTGTAATTGTAAAATAACCGGCTTGAACTGGACTGTTGAAATCGAGCCTATCGCATTTGATATTTTTGTTTTCAACTCTTCTTTTAGCTCTAGCGATGATATGATTGTCGCAGTGAATTCTGAGCATACTGCCTAATAAATGTGGAGAAACTCATCCCATTGAAACTATGTGTCTTGGATCCAGTGCTCGTAGTAGGCATCAACAATGACTTTCGTTTTCAAGATCTTTGTGTAGCATTTAAAAGCACTAGAATTTCCTTAGGGTTTCGGCCCCCATTCCTTCTTTCAGCTGCTGGTCACAAAGATAAAAAGTGTTGATTAAAGCAGCACTGACTTATATTGAATACCGATCCATTTTAATACAAAATAAATTCAAATAAAAATAATAAGAAGAAGTAAGACTCCACAAGTAAGTCCCCTTCAACGCCAGTGGGCCCTAGTGAAGTATGCAAATTTTTAAAGTATTGCAATATGTACGTAACCAGTAGTTTGGTATAAATAAACGCCAACTGTAGGAACCGGACTCCGATATCTCGAAGGACTCGATTTATCGTAGTGTTGCATTGAAATTAAAATTTATAGTAGTTGTATAGTAGCCCTGATTCTGGAGGGGCAGTCGGAGCTGGGGTTCCACGGAAGTGAGGCTCTAGATAGCACAATATCTGTATGATCCAAGAAAAGATTCAGTGTTCTTACGTTTGTGCCTGAAATGTCTTGAAGTCTTTTCAAATTACAAGTACTGTAATAAGAATTTTACGAATGATTACAAAATTGGAAATTAAATATACTACTTTAAAGTGTGATATGAGCTGTGGATTTATGAAATGAGAAGCATAAAGTGAAATATTTCTTTTGATCCTTTAAGTTTAGGCTTATATTTATTTATTAACCAAGTGTACAGCACGTTTATCATTTTAAAAGATTTTTTTTTTGTTACTTACAGAAATTGGTAACGTTTATAACTTTCAATTTTCTTACCATGTTATGTTACAAAGATCCATGACTTAGATAGCTTGACAAATTGCTATTTTTGAAATGTGTTGCCGTTCCACTCGGTATAAGATCTTTCATTTATCTTTTAAGTTAAAAATGCACCTTGCTTCACAAATTGATTATTTTAGAAGCAATGTATGTACTTCTTGATAATGTACACTTTATTATTTAATAACTCACGCATTTGATGTAGCTTATAATAAAACTAACAGATATTTTTTGTAAATATTTTTACAGGTATTTAATTTATAAATGACGTTTATAATATCATTTATTTTATAAGATAAAGTAAAAAATGTTCTACGTCTTAATATTTTGTCGCATTTTATTTTTCATAACTGTTCAAAGCTGAATATAATGTTTTAGGTTTTTGTGCTTGTATGAGTTTTAAAAAACGAAACAATTAATAACATACTGAAAAATTTAAAATGAAGACGATTCCGTACGTTTTTAATTTAATATGTCGACTTCCAGAGAGAAATTTCGATTCAAATTCAAGCAATCAATGTTCAGCACTAGGTAATTATTGCCATTCATCGTGAAACACATTAAACTCCTAATAATAAATCTTTTCCGATATACAGTTTGTTCTTTGTTCGTAAAGATATATGGTAACCCTTACATATTTTGATTACTGTCTCTTTCTAGATTGTTTGTTTACGTTATTGAATAAGTTAGATCACAAAAGGGCTATCTTCTTGTTTTAGCTGAAAAAGAGAATATTCTCAATGGCATTTGTAACTGATTGTTGGACAGATGAAGAGAAATAAGTTGAAATAAATTTTATGGGTAATTTCTATGGCTTATGAATTACATTCAGCCTCCTTGAAAATTACCTGAAGGAAAATGATTTTGATTTAGCTAACATTACTGATAAGAACACAAGTGCTGACCTGTTTAAAACGTTGCAAATGTTTCATTTTTGAGGTGTTTTACAAAAATATTTTAACCTAAAGGAATGGTTTCTAAGAACAGTTTATCAAACCAAACGATTTTGAACCAAAGTAGGTGAGGTATGATTTCAGAAACGTAGTCTAACAATTAAATTAATGCTGAAAGTATTCATGAAATTATGAATTGGATATACTATAAATTAAATTTTCTTTAAATTACGACACTTAGGGTATTATTAAAAAGTAAAATAAAAATTTAAACTATTATAAAGTGCGTTTATTGCTTTTTAATCCCCTAGTGTATTTGACAACACAATTACAACTCGCAGGATAAATTAAAGAATTAACGTAATTTCGAATGCAACATTCTGAAAACTGCAGGCCACATCGAAAATAACTAAAATATTATGTTTTGAGTAATGAAACTTTTACATTATGTAAGTCACGTGAATTTTAAACAACATAACGTCTAAACATTTTGGAAAAATTAAAAAAAATATACTATGTTCGGCGTAATAGTATCATTTACCAAGTCACGCAAATATAAATGCATAGTAGTGTAAGTTAACGACTTAAACATTTTGGACAGACACCTCTAAAACATTTTTAATATTAAGACACTAATGTAATTTTCATGCAAATAATTTTAGCTAAAACTCAACAAAAGCTAAAACAATCAATGAGTCTTATGATGCCAACCGATGAGCAAGGGGCAGAGATATTTCTGGAATTTAAAAACGCAAGGATGACGTGTTTGATTTATAGTGTCATTTTAATGATAATTAACTAGTATTTTATAAAATAAATTGCAAATGAAAAAATAAAGTTCGACAACTTTTAAGTTCTGCTAGATTACTATAATGTATTCTTAAATAGTTTTATAATATCATATTTATTAAAATGCTTTCACTCATAACGTTATTATTTATATTAAAGATAATAAGATAAAAGAGAACGCTGACTGGTTCTTCTTTAATTCGATTTTTTAAATTATCTCTTTGTTTCCTTTTAGTTTAGGTTTTGTCAATATTTTCCTGTTCATTATCTTCAAAAGCTGAAAATCTTAGAATGAGGAGTATAAATGCTTCCAATTCGATGTCATTCTTTCGAAGCTGAAGCAGCATTTTTCTACAAAAGTTTCTCTAATTGTCCCTCAGCGCTTCTGGGAAATCAAGAAACACCTCAACGTAATTAGCCGATAGACAGGAAACTGGGAAATTTAACTTCCGCAACGAAGCGTTCATCGTCGTCAATTGTGCGCGACCGGCGAGTTCAGTGTTTATCAAACAATTAAAAATAAAGCTACCACCTTCTCCAAGAACACAGTTACTCTCGAGTGCAAGATAAAATAACAGCAGCATCAAAACAAAAGAAGATAACGTATTTGCGCGAACAATTTCAATCAACATAGCGGCTAAAATTAATTATGACTTCTGCACTGAAAGCCCAAACTCTTGTTTATTCCGTAAGAAAAGATTCATTTGCATCTCTCTCGCAGTGCGATCGATACGTCAGAATCGAATACCAGTTCGCCTGCAGTTGTATGGTTATGTCGAGTAATGAAATTAACTCCTGTCGGTATGTCATGAGATTTAAAATTGTAAGGTACACGAGGCTTTTTAGTTTTAATTAATTTTGCTCTCCCTCAGTTGCATTAATGGAGGAAGGAGTATCTTCGATATATTTTAAAATTATAAATTTTCATGATTTTATTTGTTTTGAACTTTAATGAACTGGATTTTGTAATTTTAATTTCATGCTATACTATCAATTTCATGCTAGACTATCATGCTATACACGTCATCCTTATATTACCAATAATTTAATTTTCCTTGAAAATTAGAATATAAAACGCTTACAGTTAATTATTTCAAATTACTCTAAACACGTACTTGAAAAATTCTCAGTTTTTTATTTTTTAACAATCCCTTTTAAAACAATTCAATTGTTCTTTATTTTGCATTCGCTTTTAATTCCTATTAAAATATTTAAAGCAGGATTAAGCCAATCAAAATGTGATCAGATTTTTAGAAAATTCTGATCTACATCACACAGTCACTGATGTTTTTCTATAAATTTGAAGCAAAAAAAGAGTTTTAAACAATCATGTCCCTCGTTTGGGATATAAATTATAATTCAGATAACAGACTCACCTAGAGTGAGATTTTCATGCCTCAACTGAGGTGAAACAGGACCTGAAATTAGAAAAGCTAATTTAATAATGCAACGATACAAAAATTAAATAAAACATACTTTGAAAACGAAATATTATTCACGATTTCTTTCGAATGAAATTTCATTGCAAGAAATAGGCTTCTCAGTAATTAAAAATACAATGATTTAACAATACGTAAAATAGGAAAATAAAACTAGTAAAAGAACCTAAAGTGGCATGCTCGGTATTTTATTTGAAAAATGACATGTAATCAGACCAGAAAGTCAAGAAATATATATATGCATTTAATTGAATAGGAAAATAATTTTTTTTTAAATACACATACAATATTTCGTAAGTGTTTTTTTTTTCCTTTGGGGATAAGTGGTCTGCGTTTATTGAAAATAAAAATAGGACCATGAGAGCAAAGAGGTTGTAATGATTATTTGAGACTATAACGGGACTTCGAGAAAATAATTATTTTATAGTGAGAATACGGACAATTCTATTATTAACAGTACTGGTCTCATTTCTATTATTAATAGCACTGGCAATTCCATTATTAACAGCATTGGTCTTGGGGGGGATGCGGGCAGCGTATGGACCAATATTTGACATCAGCCTCCATGCTCATCCCCAGCCAGCAAGCACCAACGTGGTGGATTTAATAGGCCAGGTGCAACTAATTGGAATTCATATTATAAAACGATATCCGGCATGTCTACGACCGCATGTATGCCCGTTTGAACACCTGCATTCAACTGGCGCTACGCATATACAGTACTCGTTTCAACCTTATATGCATCTACCTATTGCGCTATTTAATAAAATAAACGCGAAAATATAGTTTTCTAAATTTCATGTAGCTCACCTTGTTCTCGAGCTTGTTGTTTTGGGAAGTTCAAACTGTTTTGGAATTACGCGAAAAATCTCTTTAAAGGAATTTCTTAATCTTCCTGCTATAGGATATATAAAAAGATTGATTATGCAGCAGAAAAGTATATTTAGGTTAAATTATCTTTTATGTATTAGTTCTGATGAGTTTTGAATAAGTAGTTATTTGTAACAATATATATAAAGTGATCTTCTCGCAGTGAACTATTTTCATGACAAGGCTGCCTCGAATGCAAAATTCAAGTTGATAATTATACTTCACTTTGTAAACTATCCTTACGAATGAATTAGTTCGTGAAGACGAAATACTTCTGTAATTTACTTGCAATACCTTTTCATAGATATTAAAATGTAAAAGAAAAGGTGTGAACTAAAAATTAAATGATGAGAATAAGTTCTTTTAGGGTTTTGGAATGAAAATAAGTGGGGAAAAAAGCTCTTGAATATCATTTGATTTTATCCCGTATCTGATACAACAGCTACTTTAAGAGTTTACTGTAGTAATGATATTGAAAGAACATAAAATATGATTTTACCCATGAGATGCCTGTCGGGGAGATGTTGGGGCATCTTGCCCCCTCTGCTAGCAGGTGGGGGGAAGGAGGCGATGCGTGGAGTCTTGGGAGCTCTTGTGGTTCGGAAGCCCGTAGCCGACGTCTCCACTTCTGACATGATGCCTGGGTCCTCGTCGTACGGCCCCAAAGGAGGGGTGTACAGAGGATGCCGCCCCTGCATCGCATTCTAAAGGAAGAGAGAAAAAAACTCTTAAATATGACATGATTGTAACAGCGATGTTGAATAAATAGATCAAATGATATGCTTGTCTTATTATGTTAACCAGACTATTAAGATTTCCAATTGCATTTTTCTACCCAGTTACTTATTTCAATTATCAAGTTAACCTCTAGTACTTCTTAGCATAATATGTTCTATAATTATATAACTCGAAATGTAAAGAATATGAATGCAAAGCGAAAAAAAAGTTCATCCTTTCAAAATTTAAGTATGTAATTATGTACTTCAAACATGCTTACAGAAGCATGCTAATCAATTTTATTAAAAGGTTTGAAAAAACGCATTTTACACAGCATAACCATGGGAAGTAACATTTGCAATTCTTATCGAACTTCGTTTCTAAAATATTTCAAAATAGTCGTTTATATCAATCATAATAATTTCTAAGAATATTATATTCACCAGTATTTTCATTAAAATCGTAAATAAAAGCAAATAATTTCAGAATATATTTTTAAGCAACAGAAAGTAGTTTACAAAGGCACGTGATTGGAAAGAATCAGTAGTCATTTCCCTATGAGACTTCTGAGTTAAATATTTAAGTGCAGGAGAGTGAGCACGTCAATATACATCAAATATTAAAAGCACTAGAGAAAATAGATTCAGAAAGAGCAATCTTCATTTGTTTGTTAAATCCATTATTTTGTAGAAACTTTCAAAGTGTATCTACATCAGAATTGCTGACATCATGGACGATATCCTAAGGCAAATTCCTCCTATTAGCTTCAATCAATGCCGCGAACGGGCTGGATGCATGGGCGTTTTAGTGGTTTTCCCCATGTATACGAGCCAGTTTCCTTTAGAAAGTTCTTCAAGAAGGCATCCGTTTCCTTAGGCAAATAGCCCTGGAGGCTTTACCGTAATTACATAAATTAAGCTGCAGCTAAGACCTCTTCTCATTTCGTTAGGGAGGATTTCTTAGTCTTTTGGTGTTTCATAATGTTAAAAAATATATTTGCACTCTTTTAACATACACATAGCATTTTCTGCACTTAAACGCCCCGTAACAGAATTTAGCTCAGTATTTGACGATTTAATACTGTGTGATGATATTTGCGTACGCGAGACATTTTTTAGTCCAAATATATTTCATTTTGTGGGTTACGTTTGTGGAATACGATTGTTTATTGCGCGTTTTTCTTATACAAAGAATTTTCGCTGTTTTTGGAAATCTTAGCCAAGGTTAGTTGTTTTTCGCTGTTTTTGGAAATCTTAGCCAATGGTTTATTCCATTTGGAAAAGAAATGGAATACTTTTATCTGTAATCAAACTATAATCGTTGAACTTTGGATGTGAAAAAAAAAAAATCCTTTCAATCCCGCCCTATACATACGTATTCTGAGCAAAAGTATTTTGTCTGAAAGAGCATCTTGCTCGCGAGGCATGACATCATTCATCAATAAGACGTCACAAGAAACAAAACCAATCGGGGCAGCTGTCGGAAGAACGCGACTGATTCCCGTTTCAGAAAGCAGCGAAGCGAAAAACACATCGGCCCGTCTGTTGCCAAATCCCGGCAACAAAAAATATAAAAAGAGAAAAGGATCTGTTGCGAAGGCATCGATAGGGCCTTATGTACCTTCATCGATGACTTCGATCGACAGCATCGAAATCGAACAGCATCCGGTCGAAATTCTGCCTTTTTCCCCAGAGGGTGAAAAGTAGTTATATTTTTTCTTCGAACTCGAGCGACTTTGTGCAAGTGCGCCAAAAGAAAACTCAAAAATCGAAGCCAGTGCTTCTCAAAAGCCGCCACCAGGGGGTGGAATAGTGGATGAACGGACAGAAGGGGATAAAATTGCAATTCCCAGAGCTAAACTTTTCCCTGAGGGAATTTTCAGAAAATGTGCTAGAACAAAACGAATTGAGTCGGCAAAATAATAGTATTTACTAAAAAGATATTTAAAAAAAAGTCAAAGAGAAGCACAGTAAATTTTAAGCAATATTTTAAAAGTCAGAAGTTTTTTGATTTCTTTTTAATATTAATAAAAATAGCTTTATTTTTGTTCGGAACACGCTAATGTTTCACATGAACTAGGAAGTTCTTTGGGAAAAAAAAAAAAAAAGCAGATACGAAAATGAAGAGAAAGAAAGAGCAGCCGAAGTGTAAAACCCAATTAAAAAAAAGAAGCTTAAAATGCATTTGGTATTAGCTGCTTTTTACATACTTAAAAGATATATAAAAAACATTCTATTTCAGCAAAATTTCTTCGAGATGAAACATTTTATGAAAGGGTTGCAGGTTTCAGTCACTAGAAATGACAATGCATTTACAGAGCAAATAATAAAACTAAAATTGTAATATGTCAAGGAATATTTTTAAAATGATTGAAGATACTTTAATCACCACAGGCTTTCGTTTAAAACAAAAAGTACATTTACATATAGACATGTATTGCAACAAAAGTAAATCAAAAACGGAAATAAAAAAACGTAAAATAAAAACAAAATCTAACATACAACTGACTTCAAAATGCACATAAAGGCTGCAATAATGTAAAATAAAGATTTAAATTTGCTAAAAGGGAGCATTTGATAATGTGAGATTCTCTTATCTAGAAACTTTGAATCAGTTTGACCATTATAAAAATATACAAGCACAAACAATAAAACAGTAAAATTGCGAAATAGGCGAACAAAAACAAATGACAAAGTAGAAAATATTTTGAGAAAAAGATATACTATTGGCAAAAGTTTGCATCTACCAAATGAGCGAATTTTTCAAATAATCCTCTCCACAAGTATATTCGAAATTCGACGGAATGTGGGCAACCTATGCAAAAAATAATACAATAGTGTGCCAATTTTAAAGTTTCTTCTAGTATCATTTGAAAAATTCAAGTATAGCTAGTAAGTGACTGAGTGCATCGCTAAGATGGCTTCCGCCCACGTAGGTGAACTAAACGGAATTATTCACCATCACAGCGGAGAAATCTCTAAATTTACAATGATGAATATTATGTTTACAAAGCCTTCCTTGTCCGAAATTAGTTCATATTAATAATCGTTATGAGTGCCTGAAACAATCTCTCAGATTTATATTTCTTGCTGAATGAAAAAAAGCCTTAGTATTCTATGATAAGCTTACCAGCAGTTTGGGGATAATTCAGTTTGATAACTGTGAGCTCCAAATGTTATCTTGATTGCCTGTTGTAAATTCTGATCATTTCACGTAATATTATTCACCGTGATTTCTGCTTAAGCAGTGTCTTGGTATTTTTTTCTATTTTGCCAAGGACTATTCGATTTTTGAGTGTATTTAGATGTCCACGTTTCTATTTTACCAAGGACTACTCGATTTTTGAGTGTGTCGTTTCCCAGGTACTGTCTGCTGGTTTCTTTAAGTGCCAGATTCTTGTATTATTGCAATGAAAGTAATAATGGTCCTTATGACCTTCCTCTCCGCACTCGCAGAAGGGAGTATCCCTAAGTCCGAATCTGTTGAGGTATACTGTGAACGATCCGCGACCTGTCAAGGATTGTGTTAAGCCGGTACGGTGGGTTTTGATTTCCATGTTAACTTTAGTAGACAGTTAGTGCAACATTAGTCAAAATGAAATACTCATACCCGAAAATTTACGTATGTTAAAACGGTGAAAACAGGAACACCTAAAACTGAATCGAAAATAAAAAAGCGTTTGGAAGATAAAACCGCTTCTCGGTCTTCTAATGAGGAATTTTAATGCCATCCTTGAAAATGCGATTTTAAGATTATAAAGCACTCGACAAAGGATTTCATTAATTTGTATAAGTTGCAGTAGGTGCATGTGAGCAACGATGTCTTCTCATTTTCATTATTAACCGGCACAACAACTAACCCTAATTTACCGAATGTTTCGTCTAATTTATTCCATGACGCGAAGTGGCAAATTCTGTAGAACATAAGTTTTGGACACCGTAATTATAGTGACCTCAGTAAAAACAAGACCTCACTAACCTAAATACATTACTTTTAACTATAAACTTACTATAAAGTTCGTAATTTATGATTTTTTAAAAACTCTAAGCGAACATGATAATCACGTCTCCGAAAAAAATTAAAAGTTATTCATTTTAACATATTTTCAGTTGTTCAAGGAATAAAAATATATGCAAGTCATTTCTAGGTGCTAAAATTAAAAAAAAAAAAAAAAAAAAAAAAAAAAAAAAAAAAACTAAAAAAAAAAAAAAAAAAAAAAAAAAAAAAAAAAAAAAAAAAAAAAAAAACTTCTTTCTGCATACTTAAAGCGATTAAGACAATTTGGAATTTAGATCTGATTTGCTTGAAAAGGAAATAAAACTGTACTAGGAAAATAGATAAAATATCTAAGATGTTATAGTTCTGGAAAAACATTATCTCAGAAGCTAACAATAGATATAAATAAATGGAGAAAATAAATATTTAAGAAATTCACACCGAAATGCATAAGAAAAAAAGAAAGGAAAAAATGTGTAAGTTTATCTCTAGATTAACTAATAAATATCTGCTTATCTTTCTATTCAAAATGTTCATGGAAAAGTCATTTCGCGTGCGTGAAAAATTTAGTAAGTAAATTTAGGTGCTGCATAACACTAGCTTACTCTTCACAGAAGAAATGATTTAAGTATGAAGTGATATCTTTTGGAACAGCGTAGATCATGTCATAGTGAAAAAAAAGTTAAATCATCTTTCGAGTATTCAACAGGATATCACAGTTTGAGCAAAAGCCTTTTAAACAAAGAAATCCTGTTCCTCTTTCTTAGTAGAAACAGATCTTTGTTACGCCACAACCACCTTGGTACAACTAGTCGCCAGATTTCTTATCCTCCTATGCAGTATTACCTTTTATCAAGCTAGTTCCACGGCGTCGCTCTTTTCAGATTACTTCCCACTCTCCTACGCATTTATTATCTTTTATCAAGCTGGTTCTTTGGAGTTTCTGTTTTCAGACAATTTCTCACCTTCCTATGCATTTATTATCTCTTAT